TGTGGTGACTTACAAAATGGACAGGCTTTCATGAATAATATAGCCTGGCTTTAAGCTCAGACTGCTCAAGTACCATCTCACTTGCATAACCCGTTTTCTTGGATGTGAAAATGCAGCCTGAGCTGATTCCCTGACATGTGTTCCTGTGCAGCTTATTCCTGAGTTAATATACCAATACACCAGTAACTCCTGTGCCTTTAGAGCTGCTGGAGAGGAGTATGATTCAAAGCAATGAGACAAGCAGCCAGATGTGACAGTTACATTTGGCAATTCTGTCCTGCTTACTCATAGATCAAGAAGGAAAGTGAAGGGAGAGTTAGAGAAATTTGGTTTTCCCCATGAATAATTTCTATCTAGGTAGTCATTGTTTATATAAGCTAGACATTCTTCCATGACAAATCTCAGAGCAGTGCAAGTTATATAAACCAAATCTGCCGCAGCGTTCAGAAGAATGCTGGGTTCTCCCTCCCTGACACCATCAAGCATGTATTTCTATATCATGTGGTCAGATCCATATTCCCCACATAGATCCAGCATATGGCTCTGTACATTTTAGAAAATCTTGGTGCCATTGGAGTTCATCACTTGATGCATCTTTCAGGAGACCCAGTTATGTTTGGCTCTGGTACTTCTCTGTATAGTGATGGTGAAAGTCACAGAGGAAGGAATACAGCATTGTGTTGTTACAAATGTTCTGAGAGTTTCACAGGGCAAGCAGAAATGTATGCGTTATCTCCCATTCACTCCCCACTGCATGCTGCTCTTATAGGACTCCTGACCCCCCCTCCAGCCAATGGAGGAGGGGCTAGGAGAAGGGAGGGAAGCCTCATACAGGCATGGCCAAACTTGGCCCTCCAGCTGTTTTGGGACTACAACTCCCATCATCCCTAGCTAACAGGACCAGTGGTCAGGGATGATGGGAACTGTAGTCCCAAAACAGCTAGAGGGCCAAGTTTGGCCATGCCTGCCTAGTAGCAGTCATTGTGTGGGTTTCTGCTAGTAGGACCAGTCAGTATTTGTTTGTTTGTTTGTTTGTTTGTTTGATGAAAAGCAAACTGGCTATAAGCCTGATCTTTATTACAAAATAAAGACGGTTGGCAACAGGGTCCCCCCTCACGTAACAAACAGGCGATGAAGGAGAACCCAGAACAAAAGAAGATTCTTACATTTATATCTTTTAATTTCCATACAGAACAATGAAAACAAGAGACGTCAGACGAGGTGCGGCATGAGGGATTAAATAGGTAAGTCGGAAGAGGCAAATGCCTGTTAATTGTGGTTTGTCAACACTTGGTTCATGTTATTGTCTGGCAGGCAGTGTACCCAAAGGTGGAGTAAGCAGGGGCAGAGCAGGGTGGGTGCGGTGGGCACAGGCCGCCCCATGCACCATCACAGAGGGGGGTGACAAAGCGCCTGGAGGGAAGCACAGCCTGTCCCCTGGAGGTCCCGGGATCACAGCCACCAGAGCTGGGAGTGACCCAGCAGCCTCCCTCCCACACTCCCCACTGCTGCCCCAAATTGCAGCTGACTTTGTGTCAGCATCCCCAAGCCCTCACTCCCAGTAGCATAGCAAGGTCAGGTGGTACGATCCAAAGCAACAGCGGGGAATGTAAGAGAATGGACCACCCCGGGGAAGGGAAGCGGGCAGCCCCCCAGGCTCCAGCCTCCACCCGCTTCGCCTTGCCCAGTTTATGGAGAGCTGGACAGCTGCAAGCGCCCCTGGATCGCCCCCTAGCCCTATTGTCAAAAGCCAGAGACTAAGAATGGAAACTTTCCCAAGGCAGGCAGCATGTTGCTCAGGCAATGTCTCTGCCCAAACAGGAAGTGTTTCATAGTCCCCAGGGCCGGATTTAGGTTTGATGAGGCCCTAAGCTACTGAAGGTAATGGGGCCCTTTATATGTCCAGCTGTCCTTTGTCAACAACAAATTGTTTCTGTTTTTTTGTGTTGAATATATGCAATATGGCAATTTATGGACCTAATAGGTATCTAAAGCCATTTGCACATAACAAAATATGTATGTTATCAAAGTAATTGTTGAACTGAAATACAGTTAAGAAATATATTAATAGTGAAATACAATTAAGAAGAAGCATATTAATAGTGAAATAATTATTAAGCTCTAACTGTAATGTAGGTTTTCTTTTGTTTTTTATCTTATATTTTCGAAATGTACATCCAGTTTTCCCCTCTTTACATTTTTTTGGGGCCCCCAAGAGAGTGGGGGCCTAAACTATAGCTTGTTTAGCTTATACATAAATCTGGCACTGATAGTCCTTCTTATGCAGGCGTGCCCCATGGCAGAGTCAGTTTTAGAATACTTCAGTGCCAGGGAAGATATTCCAAACCGTTGTTCCGACAGTTCATCCTATATAGTATCAGCACACAGATCACAAGTTAAATGGCTTGTGGCAGTAGCCACTTGGTTTATTCAGAAATGCAAGAACAAATTGAGATGGGAGATGTCAATTTTTCCAGTAGTTCCAGGTGTTGTTGCCATATGAGTTCTGCACAAGGAGGACCATCAAATAGAGCCTTAAAAAAAATGCCCAGCTGTTTTTCAAAATTACAGAAGTCAGATCCAGTAGGGTGATTCCAGCTCGATAGAAAAAGGAAGTCTTTAGGAGGGATGTGCTTTTCAACTACATTTCTTCTTCAGATTTTAGCTCTCAAAAGGCTTTCAGAATAACACCAAATGCAGCAAGGTGCAGCAACTTTACATAAGTGAAGTTAGGCATTCATAATACCTTTAATTTCAGTGGACTTCAGCATGTCTTAGCACAGGATGAGTCTGGAAACCACAATATTCCAGTGAACGGTTTGACAACTTTAGGACATAGTTGATTTTATTTGAGGGAAATAGACTCAGCTGGTATTCAGTGAATTGGTTTGCCCATACTTATTTCCTTATGGACATCATTGATTCACACATATCACTTACTATGTATGGAACTGTTTTCATTAATAAAAAATTAATAAGCAAATATAATTTATTATATTGCAAATGGCAAATGCATTTGCTCTGAAAGGTTTAGAGGTTTTGGGGAATGAAATATTGATTTAACATGTCATCTAGTTTTAGATGTGCACACAGAAATGGAGGCACAGATAAACTGAAGGACTGCCAGACACTGCATCTTGGTGTCTGATCTGAGGGGTTTACATCTTAGTCATAGTATCGTTATGGTGTGATTTGTCAGGTGGTAGGGTATGCAAGGCAGATGCAATCCCAGTGTTCGTTCATAAGCAGCTAAAAGTAGTTTTAAGACACAGAGGTGTGTACCTCAGTGGTTTCTCAGGTTACAAACACTTTGGGTTACAGATTCCAAAACCCAGAAGTAGTAACTCGGGTTAAGATCTTTTACCTCAGGATGAGAACAGAAATTGCATGGCGGCAGCGGGAGGCCCCATTAGCTAAAGTGGTACCTCAGGTTAAGAACAGTTTCAGGTTAAGAACGGACCTCTGGAATGAATTACGTTCGTAACCAGAGGTACCGCTGTACCCCCCCCCCCACTAGGCAACCTTATCCTCAGCCACTACTGGATTGTTTAGGACCTAAAGAAACTAGCAGTGGCTGAGGATAAAGTGATGATGGAAGACACAGCCTCTGATCTGGAAAGGTTTTGCAAAAGCACTCAAGGTGGATGTGTAGCAAGGCCAGTGAAGGTTGTGGCTGCAGAGGGAATATGGCCTATGGGGAGTTCCAAGGCTCAGATAGAAAGGCCTGGAAGGCCACATCCTGCTACCAGGCCTGAAGTTCCCCACTCGTGCTTTAAAACTAAACTCATTGCATGCAATCAGGTGCCAAAGAGAGCAAGCACAAAAGTCTTTGCAGGATTGGGTCTCCTAAACTTTCAAGCGTACCCACCAAGTGTCCCAGTTTTCCAGGGACAGTCCCAGAATTACGAAAAGCCATCCAGCTTCCGATTTGACCTCTTTTCCCCCTGCTGGTGCTGCTGCCTCTGAGCTCAGAGAGGAGGATGAGTCAGCACTTGTTCTGAGCAGCGATAGTGGCGAAGGAGCATCCCATTGCCCCTCCATGGCCACTGCTGCTGGCCTCTTCCCTCGAGCAGCTCACAGTGGCAAGGAGGAGGAAAGGCTGCTCCCGCCAAGGTTGACCCCATGTGATGCGCTGGCTCTGAGGGGCAGGCAAAAAGGGGAGTAGCAAAGCAGAGGGCAAGGAGTCTTGATGTTTTTTAAAACTGCTTTGTGTGTCCGTGTCTAATCTTGCCTCTTTCTATTTGTTTATTGGTGTGTGCTTTCTTTTTGTAAATCCACCAAAGAATAAAATGAAATTAAAACAGGATTAAGGTTTTTTTTCAGGATGGTGGAGGGTGTGTGTGCCACTTGCCTTTCTCAAAGGAAATGCTCTGCTTGGGGGGGGGTGGGGTGTCAAGGAGGGTGACTTTGGGGCAGGAGTGAGAAATGTCTGTATCTGAGGAAGGTTGGAGGGAAGGCATTCAAGCAGTTGGTAGTCCTCTCTGATGCTTTTCTGATAATTAATACAGAAGTAAGTTTTTCACGGGAATTTGTGGTAGGATAATTTAGTATTTATTTCATGCAAGGAGGATATAATATATAAAAGCACACAAGAAGCATTGTTGGTAGAACTGGCTTGTGACTTATAATGATTACATCTGCTTTAGTTCAAATGTTGAAGGAAAAAACCCTGTGTGTTATCAATTAAATTTAATATTAAATGAATACATAAACTATTTAATAAAGCCATTAAAATGGTTGTAAAAAACACATCAGTGGTGATTTTTTAAATAAAAAAGTAATATTTATTTATAGAGCCATTGAATCAACTCTAGTAACACATGCTTAAAAAAATTTCTTAAAGAAATAGCCTAAAATAATTCAGCATTACAGCTTCTTGTCTAAATTAAACCCATTTCAATTCTGTAGATTGAAATACAGAGTATGTTTGTCTCATCTGAATCTTACTTTGCTGCTGTCTTTTGGTATAATATTTAAAAATGCATGACTGACGCTCCTTATGTCATTAAGCATTTTTATTGAAAAAAATTATTGCATGAAACTACATTCCCAGGAACAACTTGAATAATGAAAGGAAGAAAAAAAAAGCTGCATTGCATGTTCAATAGTGCAATTCACTTATCTACTGTATAATATAAAACACTTTTTTTTTTAACAGAGAATACAAAACAAAATAACTAGTTTACAGGTTATACTAGCCAGAGTATTATTTAGTTTCAATATAAACTAAACACTTTGAAAAATGAATCAAGTGGCATATTTATTTGTTTGCTTTTTTTGCCAAACTGCATAACAAACAGACATGTTCAGTGTTTTACAGAGAGGCTTTCATAACAGGGAAACAGTTACATCTGATTGGTTGGTCTTGCCTGATCACTTTTGTCCCTCTCCTGTACAAAGTGAACTTTTAAAACTAACCCTAGGTGAGACTGAATTGGAATTCCATCTTGTAACTGGTGGAAGATGCAGCTGGGGGAAACCTGGGTTGTTGTTTTTTTTACTTTTATAAAATGCAAGTTGATCTGGAAGCTGAATGCATGTTGAATCCTTCTAAGGGATGAGCTTGGGGCAATGTAGGAAATCCATGATCAGAATATCTCACTTTTACTTAATGTTAAAGGCCAGTGGAGTGGGCAATTGGATCAGGGTCTAGACATTAGGGGGAGAGAGAGGAAAAACCCTTCCTTCCAACATTTTCCTGATTTAAATTGCCCACCTTTAAGCTGGAAAATAGCAACTTCGGAAGACAACTTCAGTAGGGAAAATGGTGCAGGTAAAAGGCTAACTCAACCCTCATTTAGTGCTGATTCTGTCTTAGGGTGCCTCCACATCTGTTTTTAATGTCTTCTTTCTGAACTGTCTTGCTGCAGGCTCAGACACAGTTCTGTGTGGATCACACCAGCGGGTGTTCATGAAATATACTTTATGGTTTGACAAAAGTCCATAAATAAATCCCTTCCTCCTACTTTACTTACTGGGGTAAGTACCTCACTGTCTGATTAACACATATCTTAAAATTTGCATCCTGAAATGAATTGTTTTACTTAGAAAACATCTCAACGTTTGAATGGAATTGAGTTTCAAGGAAATAAGATGCGGGTCAGAACTTACAATTTGCTGTACTTTAGTGGCTATTTGGAATGGCTGCATCTTCCAGTGCTTGGGGGCGGGGGGAGGGAGTTCTTACAAACCGAGATAATGACAATCCTTTCCACTTGTCATTTGAATGCTTCTGAAACTGACAATGCAATGAAAAACCCCCACACCTGTTCATACTGGTACTGACAAAACAGGTGTCGTATTATGTTGTTAGAAAGCCAAGTTTCACAACATTTCAGATAGGGGAATCCTTTTCTGTGGTGAACTGATCATTTTTTGTCCCCATCTGTGAATGCCTGTGTACCATGTGAGGGTTTGACAGATGTGTTTGTCTGGAGGAAAAGGGCTTCTCAACCTGGGGGGAAGTGCCTGTGAACCTTTCCCGCACATCCTCAAGCTGGCCCCAGAGCTTCAACTCCAGATATTTTGGGGAAAAGAGAAATGGGACAGCAGGAAAAAAATGTTTTTTGAGGCTTTTTAGAGGATGCTCCCCACTTTATGTGATTTTGGTTATGTGCATGGGGGCCTGGAATGTACACCTCAGTGTACGTGGGTGGATGCCTGTACTTCTAACTTATGTTTCTTGTGAAAATGATTAAAATGTCCACAAGCCTATTACAGCATAAAAGGCTGTATGAAAGCTGTAGACAGCCTCTGCCAACTTGATGCCTTCCAGGTGTTTTGGACTACAACTCCCATCAACCCCAGCCAGTGTGGCCAATGGTCAGGATGATGGGAGCAGTAGTCCGATAATATCTGGAGGGCAACAGGTTTGGGAAGGCTATTATTGTAAGGAATGTGAAAATCAAATTAACAATCATGTGCTGCGTCAGCCAGACCTTGATTTCCGCAATGTCTCTCATAAGATATGCAATTAGGCTGCTGAATGGGAATTGTCATTCTAAATTGCTTTTGGAGTGTAGGACAATGACTTTGCAATTTTAAAAGGGAAAATGACACCTTCTTCATTTCCGTTCCAGATAACCAACACCTCCGACAAGGTCAGGAACGATGCTGAAGTTCTTGAGTCTGGAATAATGGATGGATCAAGGGGTTGAGATGTACGGCAGAAGATGCAGCTGCGTTCAGCTGCGGCGTGAACAGGGTAGGAATAAAGGCTGCGTGGGGCAGCGGCGGGATTGCCAGATGGGATGGGTGGATGGGAGTCGCCGATACGAAATGGAACGGGTGTCCCGCCAGGAGTGCCGAGTGTGCGGGCACGAAGGCCGGAGTAAAGGGCGAGAGTGAGAATGGAGCAAAAGGCGATGGTGAGAATGGGTGTATATGAGTCAGGGAAAGATGGCTGTTGTGAGGATGTACTCCGGTGGACAGGGCAAAGCTCTGCAGCAGCGTGTGGCGGAGGGTGGCAACAGACGAGTGCTGCTGAACAGGGACAGCTGGGGAGGCAGAGAAGGCAGCTGGTCCTGGGGCAGGCACAACCTTGCGATGCTTTGCCACAAGCTGTTTCTGCATATGCTGCTGGGCCTGCAGCTGAAGAAACCTATATTTGTCTATCTCATCTGGGGAAAAGGTTATAGGCTGCTGCGTTAAAGGAGAGGGGATGCACTTACTGTACGGCTCAGTCTTGTTTTCTGTTTCACCGGATTTATGCATAGCACTGTCAGAGTAGCAGTTCAGATCCCCTTCCACTCCACTCAAGTCTACACCTGCATGGTGTTCTTCTTTGGTCTCTGTTAGGTTGGGAACAGCAGAATATCCATGAGAAGGAAAAGCACCAGGAAAACCATTTGGCACCGAGTCACAGCTTTGTAGTAGGGGCTGCATTTCATCAGCTAAGAGATCCGGTTGATGCTTTGTTGCGGTGTCCTGTGCCCTATTCAGGGCCTGATAACCTAAGTCGTTAAGCAGGCTATTGCCATAGTTAGTGCTAGCTGTCAGAATAATATTATCTATCGCTGAAGCTTCGGCTCGCTCTGTGCCTGTGCCGCTTTCCACAGAGCCAGTTCCATTGTTCCACCTGCTACTCGTATCAATGTGAAGGGCTTTCTCAAGCAAAGGTAACATTGCTTCACTATCCACTGATGATGCACCTTTAACACCTGGTTGACTATGGGGGAGATCTCTCTCGCAGGTATTTGAAAAGCTTTCAGTGTTCTGAGTTTGCTCCTGGTTTCGCTTTGATTTCACCCTCTCTAAAAGTAGTTTGGCCGTTAACGACTTCTTCCCCACTGCTTTCCTTCCTAAGTGGTTGATGGAGCAGCTTCCAACTTGTTTTGATGGACAACTTTCATTCTGGCAGTCTGAGTGTGCAGAGTCTGATTTTCCTGGTTCAACTCTGTCGGTGCTTTTCATATCCTTTTTGTGTTTGTTCCAGTCATGCACCAATTCTTTTGCAAGGGATCCCGAACTGCTGGCTCTTGATCTGGTGCAGCTTGATGATCTTTCGCTGCTTCCTGAATCTTGGGTGGAAGAACCTTTGGAGCTGCTGTAGCTCCTGCTCCTGCTGTGTTTACAGAGAGGGTGTCTGTTCCTGCTTTGCTTTGATACATCTCTTTGTAGTAAATGTCTATATCTCGAATGTCTTTGATATTTTGCCATATGCCTGTGTGCACAGTTTCTAGATCTTTGACTTGTTTTGTTGAAAAGGCAGCCCCCATCTGCATCATCAGAAGATGAAATGCAATTGTGCTTTTTGTGTTTACATTTCTGCCTTTCAACCGGCTTTTGTTTCCTTTTGCAGCAAAAAGGCAAATGACTTCTGCTGTGATCACTTGATCTGTGACTAGAGTAGCAACTAGCGTAACTAGTTGCACTGCTAACAGAAGTGTCAGAATAATTAGACTGTCTGTCAGAAAAGGGCTTTTGCAAAGGAGTGAATTTCCAGCAACCAGCAAAATTCCCATTGCCTTCGTTTCCCATGGACTCCCTGGGTGAATCTAACTTGTATCCGAGAATGGAATCTTTCCCGCTGTCACTTATGTCACTGCTGCAGGTGACCAAATCCAGGTCGGTTTGTCTTTGGGCATACATTAAATCACATTTTGCACATTTTTGCTTCTTTGTCCTAGACACCAAGGGATAAATGCAAAGGTTTTCAGTTACTTCCTCCTGTAGAGTTTTTTCACAGTTCTGCAACTGCTGTGCTAAAGATCTCACATGCATTGTTGTGTGGGGACTTGTTGCTCTCGTGTAACGCCTTTTTGAGCAATCAAGGGGTGCAGGCACTTCAGGTAGGTTTTCATTCAAATCATCTGAGACGTACTTTGGAGCACTTTGACTCATTTCATTCTCTGTGTCTGAATCCAATTTTGGCCAGGACTTTTTGAGGCTTAGAGCTCTTTTCTTCTTCTTTGGCTTCAAAGACTGATTATCTTTTTCACTGGACAGTTGCTTGTTCTCAGTTAGATCTGAGGCGTCATTTCCATCTATGTCCATAGTTCTTGTTGAGTGCTCATTAGGACTTTCTTCGTCGACTTCATGATGCCCACTTTCTCTATGAGATAAGGAGAGCCGAAAATCAAAATACAATGGATTACAACCATAGGAAATGGAGGGTTCTGTTTTTGTAAACAAAAGAAGTTCTCTGGGCCACCGTAAGGCTGTCCTGCCATCTTTGCTCAGTACATGAAGAAAAGGCAATGCTTTAGGCTTAATTTCATGAACCAGTGCATTATCCCTAGGCATTTCAGCATCTGCATTGACAGCTTCTGTACAATCAGAAGATTGTTTGAATACACAGGGATTGTAGTTTCCCTCACACTGATGTCCTTGCTCAGATGATCGTTGGGCTAAGGACTCAGAGACACATTCTGGTAACAGGCCATCACTGTGCTTGTAAGTGTTTTGCTGTGTACAAATGTTATTCGTTTGGCATTGAGGTGTAACAACGTTTTCCAAGGATTTCTGGGTCTCGTTCAACTCTCCTCCTTGTTCTTTTGCACCAGGAGACCCAGAACAATCCAAATCTGGAAGATGTAGTTTGTCTTTACGAAATGAAGTATGAGTTTCTGTTTGCTCTCTGTCCTTGTAGTGATTGTTTTCTTTCTGCAGTTGATTTTTCCGAGCCAGATTACAGGAGGCGAAGCTGTCTGGGTGACTTTGAATGGTGCCTAACCGTTTATGCACATTTGCTTTCCTCTCATCCCTCATATGTATACATGCACGGCACTCTTCGGAAGTCTGCTTTGCTTTATGCCGAGGGGATCTGATGCAGTCATATGCTTCTTCCATGTTCTCACTGAAAACGGATGCTGATGACTCAAGCTTCAGGTGGACTTTTTTAGAGAATGAAAAGGACACCCCGGCCCGATTGCAGCCATTGGTGCCACAGGAGAATGCGGGAGAGATGTGGCTTCTAAGAAAACGGTGTGTCTCTATGCAAGACTGGTTCTTGCTTAGCAAAAGTTCCTGCTGCTTCTCTGATGTGCTGCTGGTGATGCTTTTTCCTTCAGCTGTATTCTTGACTTTGCCTTCTTGAGCTAACAGAAGTTTATCTTGCGGCGTCGGCTCTTTTTCTACAACCACTTGGGGAGATTTAAACGCAGGTCTGCATTCAGCAACGCTGGAAATAAATGACATAATAAAATCACTTGATTTACAAATGAATGTTAGATTTCAGAAAGTAGTCATTTTCACTGAGAAGTATGGGGTTCCATCCAAGGCATCTGCCTGCCTTTGCCCAAGCAGGTGGGCTGCGTCTTTCCTCCTGGAGCAACCCACTGCCCCAAGAGGAAAAACACAACTCACCTGTTCAGGGGAAGGCAATCTGAGCTGCCAATACATCATGGCAGCTGTGGAGCCACGATGTATTGTCAGCTCAAAAAGTCTGAAACCACTATTGCGATGTGAACACCATTTCGGTTTCAAGGCAAGAAATTGGAGTATTGCCCAGCTCTAGAATAGACATGACTAACCTAGATTCATTGATTTCAATGGCTCTACTGTGAATAGAACCTACTTAGACACAGCCCGAATACTGCACACTGTGGCAGGCTGACCACAGTGGTATAGTAGGTGAAGTGCCCTTAGTAATTTTGCCCTGCTGTGTCTTCAAGAAGCCTTTGGACTACGTATTGTACACTGTACTGTACAGTACCTGTACTTACTAGTTTAGCAGTCTGCAGAGCACATGCTTGGGATGAAAGAGTTCTCGGCTTCAGTCATCTCTAGGTGAAAGATTTCATGCGGCAGGGAAAGAAAAGGTGATGGAGAGTCGCTGCCAGAGCAGGTGTATGCAAGATAGACCAACAGACTGACTCGGTATAAGTAACTGAGTGATACAGTATAAATTACCTACTGGAATCCTCTCCATTTCTGTGTTTCTTTCACAGTAAGGATGCTATTTTAGTTCCCTAGAAGGAACTATTTGGAGAGTTTGTATATGTGCAGAGAAATGAAAATAAGCCCCAAATCTTTATTTGCTTAGTCTAGAAATCTTTATTTTCCCCCTTTTCCTAGCAATTTTTACAAATTGCTAAGAGCATTAAACTCAGATCTGTTTTAATAAGGTGAAATGCTCTGTTAGTGAAATATTAAATATCAGATCTGAGAGAAACAGGAGGCCAGTTTCATGCACTTTTCTTTTCCTCCTCCAACATTACCTGAACCCTTTCAATCTTCAGAGGATGTGTAAGTGACCATAGAGGAGAAGGGGCAAGAGCGGGTGTATCATCCCATTCCAGAAGCATTCAGAATGATGCTTCTGGTCTTACTGAACTGTGCTGGTGGGCAGTGAACCTGCTATTACTGTGCGGTAAGACAAGGAGACGGTGTAGTGGTCTGTCAGGTTCCTTCTCATTCTATTTACAGTGACGGCAATGCAAGAGTTCTTATGGGTTTTGTGATGCTGTGACATCATTACACCAGTGAGATGCTCTCTGATTAGTTTGGCTCACACAGCAAGGAAAATCTGCCCCCCCCCCCCACTAAACAATAATGGTGCCAAAGCAGCTGTTGGGAGGGACTACAAGTCTGAAAAGCACGGGGGAAAACAGGTTTGTTTGTTTTTTCTGAGGAGGGGATAATTTTCTCCAAATCTTATGGTTTTGGACTGAAAATGTTTGCTCTTGAAAACTCAGCACAGCACTATTTTTTAATAAAAAATATGTCTGTTCTGATCAGATTAGAAAGAGGATAAAAACCCCAGCCTTCAAATGCCAAGGAATTAATGCAGGGATTCCAATTTTATGGCAAGGATGTTTTGGCATCACTGATAATTTAAAAAGGGCTTGCAGGGCATGTGATGATTATCTGTGCATTATATAAAGCAGGAGTAAAGTTACCGAGATTTCTTCTGGGACTTCTAGGGGGGTGGATATGAGATTAAAATGTAATACAAGTTCCAGATGCTTACCATTCTGACTGCTTCCGCAGCTCAGCCAGCTGATGGAGTCGCTTGAGTGCTTTTTCCTGTTTCTTCTCATCTTTCCAGGATTTTGAAGCCACGTTCCGTGCAAATTCCCTTTGTTTTAGCTCTTTCAGCCTCTGTGCAAGAGAAGCACAAGAATAAAAGATGATGCATCTCTTCATAGCACGTTGATGCTTTTGTGTTTCTACACATAACCAGACAAGATACAGGAGGCAAAGCTGATAAAATGCAATTATAATGTAATAAGTAATCCCCAGTGAGCAGAGGGGTTGGGGGGTATATTTATCCGTCAGCTTGACTCAAACTCACATCTCTGTCTAATGCACTTTATGGTAGAAGAGCTGCATCTCCAGTCATGACTGTTACAACCAGATGCAACAGGAAAAACGACAACAACCCAGAAAGCACCAAGAGCAGCTGCAGCATTAGGCTGTGTACCAGAGGTGCTATGCACCCTGAACTGGTTTCGTGGGGTGGCATTTGAAATTACCCTTGCAGTCTCTGGCACCAAGTTTAGGGCGCATAGCACCTTATTACTTATTAGAAGATGCAAACTATTTTCCAGTGAGAATGTTGCATGCCAGGCGTAGCATGATGGCGTAGATACTAACCAATAGGTATCAATTTTACTCACACAGGCATATGAAATAGCTCTTTTGTATTATCTTGGAGAAGTGGGGAGAAAACAAAGTCAATATTTTGTTTGAATTGTTCCCCCATAACCTAAACCATTACAGCATAAAGCTATTTGGCTCCAACAACAAATATATGAATTTTTGGTACCATTGCTTCTTTCTCTAGCTCCTTGAAAGATTTCATCAACGGTGTCTCCGAAAATTTTTACACATCAAACTAATTTTAGTGTACTGAAAGAAGCAAAGATCACCAGTCGAAGCAACAATTCTTCAACATCAACTTTGTTGGACTGGTCATGTTGTTCGGGTGCCTGATTATCATCTACAAAAGCAAGTACTCTATTTCCAACTCAAGGATGGGAAGCAAAATATCAGTGGACAACAAAAGAGGTTTAAAGATGCTCTCGAGGCAAATCTAAAAATATGCAACATAAGCACTGATAACTGGGACACACTGGCCTGTGAGCGCTCCAACTGGATAAGAGCCTTTACCAAAGGTGTCATGGACTTTGAAGAAGCACAAACTCAGGGTGAAAAGGAGGAATGAGCTAAGAGGAAGGCACATTTGGCAAATCCTCACTGTGATCAGCTGCCACCCAGAAACCTATGTCTCCACTGTGGAAGGACGTATGGATCCAGAATTGGCCTCCACAGTCATTTATGGACTCACTGTTAAGACCGTGTTCATGGAAAACAATCTTATTCGGCTACGAGTGATTGCCAAAGAAGCAGCAACAGCTATTAAATAATTCCTACTTTCCCCCCACTCCTACCTGGGTTTTAAATTATAAGAGTAGGATACTCTGCATATGGTTTATTTGGAAACAACCCATAAAGGCTGAAATAACAGATATGCACATATTAAAGGGCAGACATGTTTCCCCCCTAATATTGTCCATATGCATAGTTCTATTCCAATCAAGTATTTATGGATATCCCATGCTGTTTGTTTCAGGTATCTTATGGTTGATTCCATGCCTTGGCCAACCATATTTTACTATGTAGTTGTCCATGAGAATTAGTTGACCTCAGATGTGCTTGCTTGAATGCAATCCATGAAATAAATTGTATTGTTCAAAATGTACCCAAATGGAACTAGCTGAATAAATCTTCAAATCTTTCTCCAAACAACATCAACAAATGGCCCAGCTGAATGGGCACAAATATATATATATATACAATAGTAGCATTTGTATGGCTAACCATGTACGCAAAAGATGCTAAGCTCACTAACAGGCGCTGTTGAACAGTATCGAAATAATTGCGCTCATCCATAAGGGCGCTCAAGCAAGGTAGAGAGCTTGGGAATTAACATACATTTAAGTGTGCAATTACATTTTTTCATGTCATTAGGTACCTAACTGGCTGGCTAAACCTAGTCAAATGTGCCAAAGTATGATTTATTTTACAAAATTTGACTCCTTTGTTCTTTGGTTCCTATGAATAACAATTGCAAGACATTTGCAGCCTGATTGTACCAGCTACTGCACTGGCAAATAGGTGCATAGGATTAGATGGAAGGACTTCTGCACCAGCACAACCTGCGGCATTACTTGGGTACCATAAGACCACCCAGGACATTGGCAAGCACAGGCACATATGACAATATCACATTGCTTGAATTAACTGCTATTTGTATGCAAAAACACAAGACTTGGTAGGGAGGTTGAGTTGGCAGGCTGGGCAAGGGGAGGGGTGGGCATCACTTGGTCCCTGTCAAAGCCCACACCCCTATAGACATGCACATTTGCACCCTGGAAGTACACCCCTGTCTCATACTTAACATGTGATGTACACTTTGCAGAGTTGAGCATTGGTTTTTTAAAATAGGTTTAAGCATGCTTACATCTACACTTTAGCCCGAGAGATTTTCTTGACATTTCAAGTGTCAGTGCAAGTGCAGAAAGCATTGAAGTTCAGCAAAGTTTCCCCCTCTTCTGTGCAATGTCCCAGCTTTGAATGGGATAATATGGAGCTCTTAGATAGACTGGAGAGCCAACATCTGGTTGGCCAGGTGACATAAGCCATGCCTGCATCTGATTGGCTGAAACTAGCCAATTGGCAAGACTCATCTAACCCCCAAATGTACTCTTGCTTCTGCATCATATTCTCCACTACGTTGCTAGTTTTGACTGTTCTCAAATGTTTTAAGAGAAGGCTGGAGTCCTATGCATTATTACTTACTAGATAGGAAGTCCTACTAAATAAAGTTGCTTTATATTTGAGTAAAAATGCATGACATTGGGTTGGAAGGATTTCCGGCAATTATTCAAACCTACAATTCCAGTTTTACATCTTATTTCAAAGGTGGATGTACATTTTCCTCAGAAAGACGATGTATATTAGACACAAAACACAATTTTAAAATCGTTTTAAGTTTTCCAAATTGACACAAACCATGCATTAATATAGTAGAGCCAACCGCATGATTTGTAAAATGTCTTCAAAATCCCAACCATAAAATGACTATGATAAAATTATTAAAAAGCATAATTGGAATGTATGTCTGAGGCATACAGCATTAGCCATTTAAGCAACTGGCAGAAAGAGCAGTAAGAGAATTTGCTTTCACCATGGTAACTGGCATTCTAAAAATAACTTTGAACGGTTATTAGTTTTCAGGATTAAACGTACGAGAAAGGCAACTTTAAAATTAACTGATGCATTTCAATTTGTTCCATGGAATCGCGATTTAATAATATTGCTATGAAATTTATTTAAGTGAGTAGATGCAATGAGCTTTGTAGTAAATTTTGCACAGTAGCACCCACTCATCTCCCACTGCTATTCAGGCCCTATCTGGTCATTTTCTGTCCCAGGGCAAAGTTCCCTCTCCCTCCAATGGGACACTCTCACATGCAAGTCATGGTGACGGGTGCTAGTGCTAACCTTCATATACCAACTCCTTGTTTCATTTTGCCTATTTTATTTCTAAAGACTTACGGTATATCACACCCTACTTTCTACTTAAGGAGTCCAAGAACTCAAAATACAGAAATAATATTTCAAAATAAAAAACCCAATTTAAACCCACCATGGTTTTTTTAAAACAACAACAACAACAACAACAACAGAGTAATAATTCTAGTGCAGGTTAACAGGAGACAAAAAAACAATCATCACCCAATGGCCTTTTTGAACAGCCGTGTCTCTCCTATGTTTTATGGAATTTCTAATTGCTACCAAGCCTTTAGGCTGTGTCCATTTGGTGAATAAAAAAAAGAAAGAAAGATAAAAAGCTGCTCATTCAGTGATCTCTGGTGATAGCAGAAATCTCCAGCAAGAAGCTGGAGCTGTACTGGGAGAGGGTCCCAGGTCACCTTTCAACTGGCACACAACTCTGTCTCCTGGTAAAAGTTTCAAGAAACCAGGTGACATGAAAAGTACCTGCTGGTGGTCATTCATACCTGCTACTATAGTTGTGTGCTTTTGGGAAATGACTTTGTTTTAAATTTGCTGTCCGGGATTTAATTAGGTCTTCAAATGAGTTTCTAATCTTTTAATTGCTCCTTGGAAATTTGTGTGTAGGGTGCAGACTTTTTCCCCTTCCCTTCCCTTTCCGAAACCTTATATTTTGTTTACACAGTATCTTATTTTCCTTTCTTCACGTGCGCAACCTCCCTGCCAACCTCCCTAAATCTGAATTATTTACTGTTAAAAGGGAAAATGGTTGAGTTTAAATACCAAAGCAGAACTACAATCCCCTTAAAATATGCACCCGCACAGATTCAACATGCTGATAGTGACTTTGTATCTTTTTGGCTTAGGGGAGCCACAGTGATATGGAAGATTATGTTGAAAGACAAGGAGAAATAGGGCAGCTGAATCCTCTTCAAGTTGCTCTTTCATTTCTGAAACAATATGTCATTGTAATTTTTGAGTATTACTGGGATAGCTCAGGAATAACTTTGTGCAGTGGGATGAACTATAGAAAACTGATACATTGAATGACAAACATTTCACAGCCTTTGATTAAACCACATCCTATTCGTTTCACTTGACTAGTAGATAAATACAGTTGCATATATATTGCTGTTCTGCATTCCTTTTCAGGCCAGTGTTGTGAATACTTTATTTTAAGGGCCTAATTGGCTTCTAGCCCAAAGATAACATGCCGACTTCAATGACAAAGATCCCAATAAGGTAGGGTTGTGTGTAATTACCACCTGTTTTGCTTCTGCTCATGGATTCAGCAGCTTATCTGCATGGAGCGTTGGCTGATACAGGAAAGTGAATGCAAACAATGGGTCAGATTCAGACCTGGCCTTGCTTTGAGGAGACCCAGGAAAATGAATAGGGAAAGTGAGCCAAGACCAACCTAAGTCCCATTGGTTTAAATGGGCCTACTCTAAGTGTGTTTAAGTTTGGATCCAACACATTTTCAGAAAGTGAAGGTCAGATGCTTCTGAGAAGTCTGCATTTTGTTGAAGTGTATTCTGGGAAGTTATATGGAAGGAAAAAACCAGGCAAGAACAGTAGAA